ATGTCACAAATCAACTTTTTTATGTTGTACTAGGCAAAAGAGCTAGCAGTCTACCTCATAATAAGTGGTCACTGCTGCCCATGGACACTTGCAGGACCAAGGGCCACTCAGGCGTTGCTGTAATTTTTTTAACCCGAACTACAAATAAAACCCCGCCTGGACGCTCCCCGGACGCCCCGTAAACTAGGACAAATCCGGGGAAACCCGGACGGATGGCAGCCCTATGTAGGTGTATAAAAATATGGTGAAATTACTAATCCGAAATCTCTCGTGGTGGGTTTTATGGCTTATTCTTCCTCCATCGTGATATTGTACGGTATCATGACGAACAGCTGTGGGTATACTACCCACAGTGGTTACTTTAAATTTTTGAAAAACTACATTGAAATAATCTTTATTCGTACCTATTCGAAATAGTTTTCATTTTACTAGCCATTTGAATATTGGGAACAGTTAACCAATTAATAGGCAATCAATCAAGTCTAGCGCCTAGTTTTACCTCCACCAACTACTTACAGGTACCTACTTTCTTTAAATACATAGAAACTCATTCGTAGATCGTGTGGTTCATTTATGCAGTAAGTATTGTTTCTATGTCTGCAGTACCGGGTTCCGTGGCTTGGTTACGGCCACAGGTAAATAACTCTAATGTTTTGGTTGTGATCGGTGTCCATAGGAGCGTGTGTGACATATGGATCGATCGAAGCCGGTCGCCTACATAGCGACCTCGGAGCCTTTCCCTCGTGACGTTGTCTCACCAGCAATGCGAGCTTGCCACGCATGACCTCAACACTAACTTGCTTGTTTGTGCAAAACGCACTTAAGAAACAAAGCTTATATTTAGTAGCGAAATTTCCGAGTATTGTTAGGAATGATAAATCTACATAACGTTCTTTTCTTCTTTGGAAAAGGAAAACGAGATTACGAAACTCTATAACGTCTTTGTTATCAGTCCATCATTATTAAGTGGAACGAAGGTTAAGAACTGGTTTTCTCCTCAATTAATGCGGACAGGTTAGTAAAATTGTGTTTAAAATACACAACTACACTTCTGGACACATCTATTGGCCCACCTTGTATTTTCAGTTTCGTTTGGTCCTAGCTAAAATTTTATATTAGGTCGAGCAAAAAGTTTTTATGCAGTTTAGAACCTGGCACATTCACAATTTCATTCAATAGTCTTTTTTTGAATTTCGAAAACAGAATTTAAAGAAACAAAAGACAATTTGGAGCCTGTTTGTTGATATCAAACAATCGAATACTAAGAAAACTTGGTTTTATTGGTTTACTTGGATTTAATTCTTGAAAAAGTGATTGATATCTTTGGTTTTGCAACAAACATTACTTATTCTTAACATTAAGGTAAGGTTCTATCAATAATCTATGGATACTTCACCTGAAGTCGTCGCCCAAACTGTGGCACTTATTCAGGCCGGACACAGCCAAAGAAACGTGAGTGCTCAACTTAATTTAAGTCGATCTGCGGTCCGAAATGTTTATCGGAGGTACCTAGAGACTGGCGGCTTTGTTCGTCGCCAAGGAAGGCCACGATCTCGGGTCACAACTGAAAGGCAGGATCGATTCATCGTGACGACCAGCTTGAGAAATCGTCACCTTACCTCCATTGAGATACAAAAACAAATTCGCGACTTCCACGGAGTATCTGTGAGCGCTCGAACTGTTCGGAGAAGGTTAAAAGAACGCGATATGGTACCACACAACCCAGCTAATGGGCCCAAACTAACGCGAGCCCACCGAACAGCGCGCCTTCATTTCGCACGCAGCCATTTAAATTGGACACAGCAAGATTGGAGCCGTGTACTCTTTTCTGATGAGTCTAAAATTGTGTTACATGGCAATGATGGAAGGAAGAAGGTCGACCGACGTAAGGGAGGAGAGCGTTTCGCACAATGCTGCTTTGAAGAGAGGGTTGCTTATGGCGGTGGCTCATGGACTGTCTGGGGCGGTATATCCGCGAGCGGCAATACTCAACTTGAGGTTGTTACAGGACCACGCCTGCCAACATTAAATGCTGAAAGGTACGTGAGTGCTTAAAACCTCACGTGATACCATACGCGGACTATGTGGGCCCAAATTTCCTTTTTATGCATGATAATGCAAGAGCCCATGCGGCCGGCATAGTCAGGGAATATCTTCGGGATGTGAACATCACAGTTATGGACTGGCCAGCCAGAAGCCCAGGCATGAACCCCATTGAGCACATGTGGGACGAGCTAAAAAGACGTGTTAGGGCTCGTCAGCCAGTTGCCCAGACGATGCAGGAGTTGAAAACTGCCATAGAAGAGGAATGGGAGATGATCCCTCAAAATTTCATAGAGCGGTTGATAAACTCTATGCCTAATCGTATGAGAGCTGTGGTAGATGCCCATGGAGGCAACACGCGTTATTAAATTAAACCTTTATTTGATAAAACATGTTTTTTATTCAAAAATCAATTGCCTTTAACAAGGCGCATATCCGACTTGTTAGGCGTAGCTCCATGTCGTATGGTATTCTGAATTCAAATTTAAAACAATACGATCGAAAAAGATGGTAAAATGTATCAGGTTTAAAACTACATCAACAGTTTTTGTTCAATCTAGCAATCATATCTCGGTACGGGCCATCGAAACCTAAACTATAAGGTGGGCCAATAGATGTGTCCAGAAGTGTATATTACTACCTATATATAATATACTAAATGTATTTTTAAATAAACAACAACTAGATTTCAGCAAAAAATGTATGAAGATATTAGGTGTCGACTCTGTCATGATTCACTTAACTTAAAACTAAATTTAACATCAGTCTTTTCTTTTCATTTTGCATAGAGAATGACACGGATGCTCTGTTGTCAAATTCAAGTTTAGGTTTAGAGAATCATGTCAGAATCGACACCATTATGTATTTTAAATTGTAATAGACGTGATGGTGGCAAGAAGGTAAACCAGTTTTTATATGTAGTAAACAAAATAATATACCTACCAGTTGATGACGCGTGACGAGTTTCTGAGCAATATTATACTACCCGGACTTAAAAGTTTTATAGAGTCTTTCTTACTTATAGTAAGTATTTTTAATTATGGTGTTAGCAGTAATTTATCTGACAACTTATGGAGTTATCACGTGAGCGATGAATACATTGATTGAATGTTGAAAACATGAATCGTTGGCAAACTCTTCAGGAATATCATGACATATGACAATTCAGCACTAATTAAAGGAATGTTTGGAATTATTCGGAGGTGACATTTATTTTATAAAAACTTTCTTTTTTTAAGTCAATTTTCTTGTTTACCTAAGAATCTTCAATTCTGCAGACACGGAAAATTTAATATTAAAAAAAAAAAATTTTTAAATTCAGTGTTTTATTCGGTATCCACTTTATTGTTTATTTATAAAATTAGAGAAACAAATGTTACACAAATTATATATTGTTTCCTTTTACAAAATCCACCATTTAGACAACAATAACAGTAGTCGTATTTTTAGTACCGTTTTAAGTATTATAAATCAATCATTATAAACAATGTAAACACAGAGTTAAACGTAGATAGCACTCATGGGTAGAAATAAAATAAACATACTCCAAACATTATCAGACAAAGACGCGACTCGCATGATGATAAAAGATAGCATCCCTGTTTATCATCAAACATTGGGTCATGCATGCTCCTATGTGCTCATACAAAACGACATAAAAGAATATAATGTGTGTGCCTAACGTGGATATGTATTACGCAACGCAACGTATCTATGTTAATAGTTTGTGAGTGTTGATAATAATGATATAACTTGCATTTCGACATCAGAATCATAAAGCTATGGAGCGAAATCTCGCGCATGTAATAAGGACTAGTTACCTTGCAACATCTGCCAACATGCATATTAGAGATGCACCGAAATTCGTTTCACATTCGGTATTACCGAAGTACGGTCGCTTTTTCGGAACTTCGTCTTCGGACGAATTTTGGTTAGATCTCCCGAATGTCGGCCAAAATTCGGTAGCTTAAATTAATTTAAAAACAAATTAAAAGAAACTTATTTAAAAATGAAATCTTAATCAAATTATGATTTGTTAGCAAATAAGGTATAAGGTCGTTAGTGTTTTTTTTTATTGCCCTGGACAAGAAAAATATCGAGTATCAAAATATGCTTTAAAAATATATCAATTGTTATAATCAGCAAAGTAACATAACAACAATTCTTCTTTGTTACTTATTTTACTTTTAGTATTTTTATTGTAGTATTCTCATTGAGGAAAAGTACATAAAATTTAACAAATTTCCGCCTGAAGTTTGGTCGTCATTCGACTTCGGCACATATTCAAACCGAACATTCCACAGGACCCACAATCGGTGCAACGCTATTATAATATATGTGAATAGAACAGATAACCCGATAAAGTAAGTCAGCCAGTCAATCATTTTTAGGCAGTATTCTAGACCCAATCAAATGTCTAAAGTGGTATCAACGAGACGTGTCAAATATCATATTATTATGACGTAGGTATTATTCATATTTGTATTTACGGTATCTGCTAAAAGTGCGTATAACGTAGCTATAACTTCTCCACTTAGAAGTCTGTTAGTATTAGTCTTACTAATTGCCTTTATTTATCTTCTTTGTTTATTAATATGGAGGGATGGCGTAAGACATGTGATCGGCTTTAAGTAAGAAAGAGTCATTGTTAGTTAAATCTCCACTTTAATAGGCTAGGGAGACGAGGAAAATGGGCACGGGTAGCCAATTGTGATTCACTCTTCAACCTGCTGCGAATAAAAAACAAAAGGTGACTCACGACAGGATTTTATTTTGTCAACAACCGGTTACGATGGCTTTCTCGAATTTGATTTTAGGGATACCCACCGAAACACGTGACAGCAGACAGTGCATACAAAGTACCAGGTTGTTTTCTTTTTTGGAACTTGCGATTATTTATTTTAGGGGTTTTCATTAAATAATGAGAATTTCCATTTTAAAGAAAGATACGAACATACCTTCACTACGTTTGTCTGAAGTACTTCTTTATTATCATTCCCAACTCTGTAACAAACAAGATAGTGTTTATAAAAATATTTACAAAATTTGTTTTGTGGGCGATGTAACACAGTTCTTTTAACAATAAATATTATAATAAATGAAGAAACTTTGAGAATGTGTTTAATAAAACTATATTCTCAGTATGGGGCACGCACTAGGAATCGATAAATCCATATCAGTATTTCCTACATACGAGTCGTGACCTAAACAGACATTTGTTCGTTATCACAGTGAGCAACAATGAAAGGAATTCATTATTTAGTCATCAAAAATTAAATTAATATAATTTCTGGTCTTGCACTTATTTGCAGGTCCCGCGAAGGTAAGTTGTACAGATTTCTTGAACAAACTCCTTTACTCAGATGAATCATCATAAGGCGGAGCAGTTAGTCTCGAGGAAAAGAGAAAGTATTCATAACAGAGGCACTATTTGTATAAACATATAAATTTAAGTCATAAAATTTAATTCAAGGTCTATTTTAATCTGAATAATAAGCGTAGTGTCAGTCAGAGACATCCTTATCTATAGTGAAGCTGAAGCCTTATACAAACAAACAAAAGGTTTAATATGAAATGATATTTTGTAGAATTTGATTGAAGACATCAACGGTTTTGATTTATTTATGAGTCAAAGATGGAAAAACAAAATATTCATAATATTTCAGATATTTAAAATGTTTCAATACGGTATTTCCAATACCTATATACCCTGCAAATATTTAATTCTGAAGTTTTGAAGTACAGCATCTATAATTTTCATTCAGAATGATAAATCCTGAAAACAGTTTGGTATGATTTATCGGTCTCAATGTCGGCGTCCTTTTTTAGTGACGCAAGTGATCTCTGTTATCATTTATCATGCTGATGTCGAACGTACGTACTAAAACAAAACGTGATTTTTTAGACGCCAAATACGGACTCTTTATTGTCATAATACTTTTAAAGTGGCAAGGTCATTTTATCTTTAATGGGGACCTTGTAGAGGAAGAGTTTGGTTTTGTAAAACAGAGAACATTTTAATTCGAGGACGAGACATTCGGTAGCTCAGTTGTTATTTTTGACAAATTGTTTTGCTACAAATTATAATATTAAGGAATTACAATAGGTATTAATTATGATTTGAAATAAACTGTACCTATTTTTATGTATTCTTTACGGAATTTTATTAACAAGAAGAATTTGCGGTAATTTATCAAATAAAAATAACACAAGCGTTAAATTATTAATGCGAATATAATGTAGTCGACACGCTCTTTAGTAAGCTGTGTAATATTTTGCTGTAATCCTTAATTCCCTTCAGTCGTTAAAGCACCGTCTCTGCTTGTACCGATACTGATATTTTGTTCCGTTACGTTGATACTCAGGCAATGAAAGCTGCTTTGGGAATAATAGGCGGCTTCGTGCACTGTGAGCTCAGAGGGGATAAAATGGCAATATGCACATTCACGTCCCAATGACCCCCTTCGGCGTAACGCAGCTTCGGTGGTATTTTTCCTAAAAATATGTATCAGCAGCTTATAGCAGCATTATGTTTTTAAGATGGGGATTAAATGCTAATTTCGGAAAGTCGCTAATAGGCATTACACGACGTACTTCTCAGTTCAGATACCAAGCACTTTAATTTCTCTTTCTAAAGAATAATCATCATAAACATTAATGTAGCTCATCATAACTATTATTCAGCAATAAATAACGGAGTAAGTACATAAATACAAATGTTATGAACAATTAAGACGCTTGTAACAAATCATGTTTATTATGCTCATTTTAGCTCCGTAGCTAGTAGTCATCTTAACAAATGAACATGACATGTTGAGCCTATCTGGGTATGATCTAAGGAGAAGTAGACAAGAAAGTATTCACGAATAATACAGGAGGTACAGTTAATGTTTTTATTGCATCTTATTTGACATAATTTTGTACCTGGCGACTGAAGGGTATGGTTTTACGTAGAAAAACAGAAATATCGATTTATCCCATCATGTCCACAACTTCACAAGTGATATCACCTGCATGATCAAATTCCACATTGATCCTATTGGTCCTACTTTGCCTGTTGCTTAACAATGGGTTCCTACAGTAGCGATAAATTCCTAATGGCCAAATTTGTGTTTCCTATTCTTATTCATTTGCTAAGAGAATGGAGGCCCTTAAAGTGGACGTGAAAAGATCAGATTTATGGATATTGTTTAAGAAGGTTCTGATGTAAAAAACAGCGTTATAAAACATACCTTTGAAGGATGTTAGTAAACTACTAAATAGTCTAATTTAGAATAGAAGTAATAATCATAACGAGCCGCACCATATACCAGTTGTGTTTTTTATAAATTATCATTTAATAATTTTAGAAATTCAATTCATATCAGTTCATTTAATTTACTAATACGATACCTACCTATATTTTTAGATAAATTTGTTTAGACTGGCATGCGGTATTATTCTTTATAGTATTAAGTTTCATATTTACTTTGCACATTGCACTCAATGAACTGGAACATTCTTGAATGATATCGCAATGATGTAACAGAACAGTACAGCAGCTGCAACTGTAAGAGAGGAGTGAACACGATGACAAGAGCAAACATTTTCCGCATTCTCGTAACAAAGTTTGGAGACGCGCCAAAAAATTTGTACCATTAGCTGTTAATCGTTGGTAATTTCTTTGAGTTTGTATGTACAGTGAGTTATTTTACCTAAGGTCATACAAATTTATCATGTAGCGCACATACCTAATTTTTTGCTTCTATTTCAATGACCAATTTACATTTGTTTTGCGTTTATGTACCTATGACGTCTTTATTTAATACCAATTAACGTTAAACGTCTGTGGCTTTGTTGGCAATAACGATCAAATCAAAATCTCTAAGTTATAATAATGTGTCTAGAAATGTGGCTTATCATTACGTTGGCGTATGGTGTAAAGTGCCAATGACCAAATGAAGTGGTAGGATGTTTGTGCAGGTTATAAAACGTGGAAGGCATGTCACAAGACGAAGACGCAGACACGGCGCGGCGCTCGCGCAACCAGCGCGAGTAGCGCAAAGCAAAGCGACCGCGAGGGGGAGGTGAGCGACCGAGCGTGGGTCAACGGCGCGCGCTCCTTGCCGCCGATCATTCCGATTTATCTCCCGCTGTCCGCAACCAACATACATAAGTGACGCGACGTGATGTCTGTCTGATACAAAATAACTTTCGATGTGTAACATCTCTCCTCTCGCTTTCTTGCAATTTGTGGAAGTGATTTCGTAAATAAGTTATCACAAAGCTCAGAGTAGCTCAGGCTCAGAGAGCAATTGAAAGAAAACTGGTAGGGGTCGGATTGAGAGACAGAAAAAGAAACGATTGGCTCTAAGAGAAAAGTACCGATCGGGTCACCGATGTTATCAAGCGAAATCACAAAATAAATCAGTGGACTGGTCATGTTGCTAGGAGGCGAGATTCGTGGTGTAAAGCACTCATAGAATGGAAATCGTGGGGTGAGAAACGCCCCCAAAGGAAGACCAAATATGGTGCGACATCAAAAGAACAGCTGGAGTGAAATGGATAGAAAAAACCCATAACCGAGAACAATGGCACAAAATGAAGGAGACCTACACAAAATGTCTAAGAAGTAAACATCTTCTTAGCCATTTTGACGTTTCATGGAATATTTTGTCATTTTAAGATTTGAAAAGTTCATGTATATTTTAACTGATGTATTAAACGTGCTATATCACTAGTTTACATATCCTTGATTAATGATTTAACCTCATTTGATGGACTCCTGACGCGAATATTAATTACATCTGGTGCAGCTTAGGTGCATACTGTATAAGGCTCCATGCACTTTTAAATGCAGCAAACTTAGGATAAGTTGGACATTCCAGTAGTTGCATTGTTAAACATACATTGTTATATAGCAATACGAAGCGAATTATAACTGCTGTTTCGTCTTTCAAATGTTTAATACTTGTAAAAGTATTCATTTGACATTGTGGGTTACATACAATACGAAGAGATGGCGCTGCCTTGCAGCCTAAGGCTAGAGAAATTTCGACGCGATTGTCAGGGCCGCGGTAGCATAATTGGTCAGTGCATTCGCTCGGATAGCGAAGGGTGCTGGTTCGAGTCCCGTCTGCTGCCTGGTACGCGTGGATTTTTTTCTAGTAATATTTTCTTTACATTTTTTTTCTAGTAATATTTTCTTTACAAGGTTATTTTATTTATTACTTTGCAAGTGTACTGTATTGGTTCATAGAACTCCACTGTCATTTAGAAACAAAGCATGAAATTGATTTGAAATGTCTCCGAAATAACGTTTTTATATTGGAGTGAAAGTGATAGTTACGCAACGCAATAGGTATAGTAAACTGTAGGTAGTCTTTTTTTCTCAAATTATAGGCTGATAGTAGGGTATCTCAAATTGCGTCTATACATTATTTTATTTATGACTATGTGTTTTTAACTGACTATAAAAAAGGAGGAGGTTCTGTGTTCGCCTGTATATATATATATACCTAGTCAGGTCATAAATTCTGTCACATGTTTAATATAAAATAATTGAAAGAAGTTTATTCATTATGTAACCATATATATACCAAAATGAACTTAACAAAACATAGATTCTTATGACCGACCAGGCCTTCAATCTGCGCGGCCAGTCGTCTATCGCAGCACGAACGAGGTCCATGTCAATATCGGCGGCTGCCTTAATCAAGGATGTCAAGAAGGACTCCAAATTGGGATGAGGCTTTGAGCACGTCTTTTCCTCCAAGTGTCGCCATATCTTGTAATCTAACGGACTCAAATCTGGACTGGAGGAGGGCCAGTCTTCGTTCCGGATGAAGTCGATTTCACGCGCCGTTAGCCAGTCTTTTGTGCTCTTCGCTCTATGAGCTGGCGCCGAATCTTGTTAGAATACCCAGTGCCTGTTATTGAACATGGTATGAGAAACGGGTTCCACAAGGTTTGTCAGGACTGTATTTTGATACAACTGCATTCGTTTTTACACCTTTCTCACAAAA